TTTTTACATGGCACCCCTGCTCTCGACAGGCGGCACCCCGGTTGGGAAACACTGCTCTAGAGCAACCTAAAGTTAATTTTACTGCTACAAATGAAGTTAATTATAAAGATATTTAAGTCCCTCTTCTAATATTTCAGTCACAAGCATTTTAAAGGTTGGTTCACCCCAAAAAAAGAACATTTCGGTAGCATTTATTCACCCTTGTTCCAAACCCACAAGACCATCAAATATGGTAAACATAAGCTCAAATGTGCATGCTTAATTTGTAACAATCAATGAAATTTGCATTCTGAAGATGAACAGAAGTGAGGGGGGGGAAAAAAAGAAGAAGAGATTTTCATGTTTGGATGAACTAACTACTGTATTGATAAAATCATGGTAAAATCATCATTACTAAAAAAGCCATGACATATGAAATGTTGAACCCAACAAAAGCCAAACTCGATGTGCACCGTATAATATTCATTAATGTCAAAGCTGAATGCACTAATAGGGTGAATCTGACAAAAAAAAAAAAGTCCAGATCATGTTTCATCCCAAAATCAAAAGAAGGAAATAAGAAAAAATTGCATATACGAAACAGTTAGTGACTTATTAACGTGGCCAGTTTTCAGCTGACATTAACACTATGGCAGTAAAACTCAATGACTTTTATATTATTTATAAATCTATGATTACAAGGGCAGATTGTCGATGAACAAATATTCATTTTTGCACATTTCCTTGCAATATTATAAGCTCTAAACACTTTTACCATTTATGATTTGTAAACTGATACATTTTAAAGTTCGTATCACATAACCAGCTCCATATGTATCATTTTTCTGACATGCTGAAAGCGCGCTACAGGAATCTCAAGTGAATGCTAGCCAGCCATATAAATGCAAGGCAGTAAGCTCATTGGCTGCATACGCAGCATGTTTAACTCTCTGAATATAATCAGTTACGTTAACAACCCATCAGACTCCGCCATCTAGAGTTTCATGACTGAACTATACATTTAATTTATTTTACAAAAATGACAATGGTTTTCTTAAATAAGAAAGTATTTCATGAAAGTTTTGATGAGTTTCAGCCAACAGCTCAATGAAAGAGACTGATCTAATCATTTATTGTTTTTGGTATCTCTATTGGCAGAGGATGACCAGCGGCACTGTTCTGACCAGCAGCACTTTGGTACTGTAGGCTGAGGACATCTGATTGGCTGCCTAAAGTCTTGCCCAGGAGTTCAGCTCGCATGTGAGCAGTGCTAGTCTGCTAACAGAATTGTTACTGTCTGTCCATGGCATTTGTCTCATTTAAATGGATGTCTTTCTAATAATTAATTCATAACAATAAGTATGGCAAGTTTTAGCAATAAAACTAGCACTCACTGACATTTACTGACGACCTTCAAATTTGGCCCCCTAAGCTTTCAGTGCAGACATTCTCTTTTCAATTTAACGAAATGTGATGTGAAATCTGGCAGTTAGGGATTCAGAAATGAGCATGCTGGAAAATCTGAATGTTTCGGACAGTATTACTACAATTCTTCATGATGAGCCATAGTTCTCTCTATATATTTCTCTCATTCTATTATCGGTTTTTACTCACAGGTTGACAGTCTCAACAGAGAGATTTTGCTGACTGGCAGTTTTTGAGATTTAACAAAATTGAGATAATGTTCTGTTAAGAGCTGTGCACTTGGTCATTCATCACATGCAGTATTTCAGGGTGACCAAGGACACAAACAAACTTAAACACACAATAGCAAAGGTACACAGACACACATTTACTGTGTATACAAACACACATCAAAATAAATATACAGACAAACAGTCCTAATAGATTCCAAAGAAATAGAGACAGAAGACAACGTAACATACCTGGTCTGTCGCAGTGGGATTGGAAGTGAAATACACAGGAAAGGGTCAAAAGTGTTGCTCTGTTTAAGGCAATGAGGGCACGTCAATGATGACCTGAAAAATAGAAATGACATTTAATTCTACCTGGAATCTACTAATGAACTGCACTGTGTATCAGTGGCGCCTGCAGCTGTATGGCTATATGCACTGTGCATACATGGAGCGCTTTGATTGACCTGAGAAACATTTTCCATGAAATTAAGCAGTTATTATTTGTGTTGACTGAAGCAGCAATGCCAATCATCTGTGATTTAATCATTCTTTTGAGTCAGTCCTCCCTTTTCAGTGAACTGGCCGAACAAGATTGCATTTGTTTGGACTGTTCCCTCACTGAATTACATAACCCTGGCCAGCCATTAATGGGTGCAAATTGGACAAAAATGCCCCTGCACAATTAAGCTAAATCTAAAATAAATAAATAAATAAGTGCTCTGTATCTGTGTGTACCCTCAAATGAAATCCTGCAGTCACCCATGTTCTGTATCAGCAATTTTTCTATTGTAAAATGTTTATACACTCCATGGCCAAAAGTAAATTTTTACAATAAATGAGGGCACGTCAATGATGACCTGAAAAATAGAAATGACATTTAATTCTACCTGGAATCTACTAATGAACTGCACTGTGTATCAGTGGCGCCTGCAGCTGTATGGCTATATGCACTGTGCATACATGGAGCGCTTTGATTGACCTGAGAAACATTTTCCATGAAATTAAGCAGTTATTATTTGTGTTGACTGAAGCAGCAATGCCAATCATCTGTGATTTAATCATTCTTTTGAGTCAGTGCTCCCTTTTCAGTGAACTGGCCGAACAAGATTGCATTTGTTTGGACTGTTCCCTCACTGAATTACATAACCCTGGCCAGCCATTAATGGGTGCAAATTGGACAAAAATGCCCCTGCACAATTAAGCTAAATCTAAAATAAATAAATGCTCTGTATCTGTGTGTACCCTCAAATGAAATCCTGCAGTCACCCATGTTCTGTATCAGCAATTTTTCTATTGTAAAATGTTTACACACTCCATGGCCAAAAGTAAATTTTTACAATAAAAAAATTTGCTTTAATAAGGAGTTGGTCTTCCCATGGCTACTAAAACAACTTTGAATCTTCTGGAAAGGCTGTCTGCATTTGCTGCCATTGAGACCCAAGAGCGTCTGTGAGGTCATGTACTCATGTTTGGTCATGGGGTTTGACTCTGATTTGGCATGCCAATTCATCCTGTGTTTAGTGGGTTCCAGGTCTGGTCTTTGTGTAGGCCAGTCAAGTTCTTTAACACCAGATTCAGGAAATGATTTCTACCTGTAAAATAGAAAGGGTACAGCCAATTCTATTAAAATGTGTGTCTAAGGAGACTACATGACTGTATGCTTTATTTGTGTAGCTTAAATTTTCGAAAACCTTTTGTAAGATTCATATGATAACTTCAAAAAGAGTCTGATTCTCATTCTTACAATTTGACCTATGCTTTTTGTTAATATGTAAAGGTTTAGGGCTTTCTCTTCTCATCCTTCAGTATTTTTGCCACAACTGGCTTGACTAGGTTAATGCAGATACAGCATAGGCCTATATATTTAATAAATTTCAAAAAGCTTCCCTATGGTTTATTGTCTTGTAATTTGGCATGCCAATTCATCCTGTGTTTAGTGGGTTCCAGGTCTGGTCTTTGTGTAGGCCAGTCAAGTTCTTTAACACCAGATTCAGGAAATGATTTCTACCTGTAAAATAGAAAGGGTACAGCCAATTCTATTAAAATGTGTGTCTAAGGAGACTACATGACTGTATGCTTTATTTGTGTAGCTTACATTTTCGAAAACCTTTTGTAAGATTCATATGATAACTTCAAAAAGAGTCTGATTCTCATTCTTACAATTTGACCTATGCTTTTTGTTAATATGTAAAGGTTTAGGGCTTTCTATTCTCATCCTTCAGTATTTTTGCCACAACTGGCTTGACTAGGTTAATGCAGATACAGCATAGGCCTATATATTTAATAAATTACAAAAAGCTTCCCTATGGTTTATTGTCTTGTTTTTTATTTGCCACATCATCCTAATCCTAAAACTATTTGATATTTTTCTTAAATTCCCTGACAATTTTGCTTGTCAAGCTCCTTTTCTCCTCGTCTTGAATTAATGTAAAAAAAGAAAACCCATAAACATTCTTTAAAAAGATAAGATGCATTAAGATGATATTAGGACTTACTTTATTTTCACGAGTACATAATTCATTTAAATTCTTATCATCATCACATCTACAAACACTTTTCTTTTTAAGGGAAGCTCACACTACACTTTTTGTTCCATTTCACTGCATTTTAAAGTTTAAGTCTGGTCAACTCAGACTGAATTTGTGAATTTATGAATTTGTATCATGAGAAGACCAACCGTTTAAGTGTCTGAAGAAATTGTAGTGTCTGTGACCCTTCTAACATTTAAATTAGTCTAATATCTTAATATTAATTATATTTATATTGTGATTTATATATATATATATATATTTTTTTTTTGTGTGTGTGTGTGTGTGAGTGTGTGTGGAAAGCACAGTTGTTTGGCATGATGTGGACAGAGGGGACTGCTTGAGCACGTCTGTCTCTGAGCCCAATATAGAGCTTCCCTTCATGACTCAACAGCTGAACACTGGAAATGCATTTGAGTTCTGCAGGTGCAACGTGTTCAGACGACAACTCGCAAACCAGGAGAGATGTGCACACGCTCTCATATTCACAGAGACAGGAAGCTCTGGAATGCAAGGATTTCAATATCTCAGCGGGAACAATAAAGCAAGTACAGATAGAGCGATGAAAAATGAACGCGGAAGCAGAGAGGATGATGGGAGTGAGAAACAAAGATAGAAGAGACATCTGTACGTGGAATAAATGAAAAAAAGTGAAGGAACAGCAGACGTGGAATGTGGCTGAGATTGCATCATGTTGGGGTCCAATCGTCTCTCGTGAACTCGGCAGACCTGTCATATCAACCGGTGGAGACCCCTTAAAATAGCAGCGCACACCTACCACCACACATACTAAACAGATTAGTTTTGCACATACAAATAAATTATGCACTTGTTAGGGTGAAAGTGTGTATGGGGAGTGTGGAGAGTGTAGATGAATAATGAAGAGCAGTGAAAATAACAGCATGTGAACATTATATCAGCAATGACAATAATTGGCTGCTCATTAACTGTGCTTAATCAGTTGACAGAAATTAAATTGGTAGAATAATTTTGTGGCTTATACTTTGCCATACAGAGCCATGGCAGAATCAACTCCATACCACTTTCACAAAAAGAATAAAAAGGGACAAACTCTTTCGCATAAAATGTTTTTGGAATTTTAGAACTATTTGATAAACTTATCAAACATATATCATTTAATTACTGTCACAGTTGCTTGGACGAGTAGGACAGAGTTGAGGTGAGGAGCTATTGGCAAACAGCATATATTTATTTATTACACAAAAACAAAAAAAGTCTGGAACTAGTAACAAGAGAAATGCAGGAACAACACTAACCAACCTAACAAGAAGAACAGACAAAGAATTGATCCAAACAGGGGGTATAAATACACTGGACAAAGGACTAATCAATTAACCAAACACAAACCAAGGACACTGGAACTAATAGGCAGTGCAAGTGAACTCAAAGGCCCCTATCATACACCCAGCGCAATGCACAAGGTAGGGCTGGACAATAATTCAATATCAATATGTATCGCGGTATAATTCTTTTCAATAATGTCGATATGATTTTTAAACACATTTCCAATATTTCGATATACATTACCAGTGTTTCCCATACATTGATTTATTTGTGGCGTTTGATTTCGTTGAATAAACATGAGCACTGCACGTTTCAAAATCAAAACGTGGCGCAGGTGTTTTATATGAATGAATCTCTGAAGGGAACCGACTGTCTGAAGAAAAGTTTCGATGACATTTTCATTTTATCTGATAAAGTAGCGTTCATGAGCGGAGCTGCTTTGATTACAGCCGTTACCGGAGAAACCATTAGTTCTACCGCTCTCAATGCACCTTCTGCTGGCAGACAATCAGTTTTTCAATTTTCAATAAGCCCGTCTCCAGCAACATGTTTTTGTTGTTGCTCTTTTTTTTTCTGCAGCAACTCAGAGCACTTTTCATATTCTTTATCCTGGCTGAAGCACATTTGTTTCAATCTATAACAATAATCAGCCGCCCTACATTACCAGTCAAAGGTTTTTGAACAGTAAGTATTATTATTATTATATATATTTTTTTTTAAAGAATTCTCTTCTGCTCACCAAGTCTGCATTTATTTGATCCAAAGTACAGCAAAAACAGTAAAATTTAGAAATATTTTCTATTTGAATATATTTTAAAATG